CTCTCTGAAACTCAAATCATAGAACTTTTGGGAGGAAGAAATCGTAATGATGGAGCACCGAGTTCATGGTGCTGGCAAATTACACCAGGCCTCACTGAAAATATGCAATTCACTGTACACTAAACAACTATAGCCAGGACAGAACAAGCACGAGCACTACAAACAACATACTGTTGCTTAAGAGCCTACTGCAAAATTATGCAAATAACTGGCCTGAAAGGAAAAAGAGCCCCAGCGCCCCTACACACACTGGGACTGATGCCTCTCCTCACCAGGCAGTGCAGAGTCCGGCATCTCTCCAGAATCACAGTCTAAAGAGAAATAGCCTCAAAACCCAGTTTGGTTGGTACTTAACACAGGCTTGGGGTTAGAGCTGTCCAGTAATGGCCAAGATAATCCGACCCAGGACATTCTGGCTGAGTACAAGCACCACCAACTCTGGGGAGAGCCAGCTAGCGGCAGGCTGAGGCCCAAGGGTGACCACCCAGAAGGGGGGCTGGAGGCGTGAATGGGCAGGACATACGCAGCCTTAAGGAAACGGGCTCTGGCAAGCAGAGCTCGGCCGCTAGATGCATTCCTGGCCAAGGCTCCAGAATGGATCTCGCCAGAAACTAAACATGAAGGTGGTCTCATTTTTAGTGTTCATTCCCTTTTCACAAAAACCTATGAGAATGATCACAGAACTCTCTAAGAGGACCACCTGGTCCCCCAAAGTACCATGCTGCATTTGTATTTTTACAAAAGTACAGGGACATGAGGCCAGGGAGATAGCTCAGTAAAATAAGCGCTTGCCTGGCAAGCACAAGGTCCTGAGTTCAATCCCCAGTACCGCCAGAAAAAAGCGTAGGGACAGCCTGTAGATTGAAATGCACTGAACATCTGGGTATGATGGTCCCAGAGCTGTGGGAGGCCAAAGCGGGAAAATCTCAAGTCCAAGCCCAGCCTGGCTAACTCAATAGCTTAGTGGGACCTTGCCTGAAGTTAAAAGATATGAAAAAGGAGCCACAAAGTAGCTCATGGTGGTGGCCCTGAGTTCAACCTCAGAACTGTTAAATAATAATTCAACGATGGGGCTTGAGTCCTGATTTAAACAAATAGAGGGGCAAAAATGGAGGGAAGTAATGAAAAGGGGAGGACAAACAGAAGGAGAGAATGCTAAGCATACCTTTTGTGTTGTTTGTTGCTGCTGCTGTTGTCCTTGCTTGAGACAGTCTCACTAAGTAGTTATACAGGCTGACCTCAGACTCACTATATAACCCAGGCTGGCCTTCAACTCTCAGCAACCCTTTTGCTTCAGCCTCTCCAGCCTGACTTGTGGATTATTTTAAATACAGAGTTATTTGAGTAACAAAAGAGTTGCGGATTCTGGAGTCAAACAGATTTGGGATCCCATTCAGGATCCACTGCACCTTGGTAAATGCGGGAAGGTGACTTAGCCACTCTGTGCTCTCTCTTTTCAAGTAGTAAAACAGGGGTAATAATGGCAGAGGTCTGGGGTAACTCTTAGGGATCAAAGACAACGCATCTTAGGTGCTTAGCACATTGCCTTGTACTGAAAAACGAGCAGCCAGCTAGCAGCTGTGGCTTCGATAGTCATGATCAGCAGCGCTCCTAATAAGCAGCCTCCTC